TTGCATGATAAATAGACAAACATAGATCCAAGGTTATTAGGGTTGCATGGACACTTAGGAAGTGTTAGAATGCTTAAAACCCATCAGTTTCTCCAATTGAACCTTCCAAAGCTTCAAAAACGTGAGTAATCCATCCCTTAACTTGTTGTGCATGAAGAACCTCTTGATCTAGGCCTTGAATCATGAAAGTACTGTCATGTTCTTCCTCTCGTTGAAGGAGTGCGGCCACACACTCATGTGTGCACACACTCATGTGTGCACACACTTAGGTGTGCGGTAGCACACACATTTGTGTGACCATACACACACACCATAGGACCACAAACCCATTTCTAAGACCCTAAACATGTACTACAACCAAGTATGGGCCTAGGACACTTCATGGATGCAAGTATGAACCTTGAAAACACCTCAAAGGCACCTTCCAGCATGAGTGTATGGCTGCAGACCCTTTGGGCCACACACCTATGGCCGTACACACCTTTAAAGTGGCCATACACTTCACTCATGCAATCCTTTGAGGTCCTAACACTTAGTGCAAGTAGTCCCAAGTTCTTAGAATGGTTCTTCATCACATCTAGTGGTGAAATACCATCATTTGACTCCTTTATGTATCATTACTTCTTGATTAGGATCAAATCATGTTCAAGGCTCCACCTGAACATCCCGCTTTCCGTGTCAATCCTTCATTCAAATCACCCGAGCTGAGTTCATACTCCTACATTTTTCCTTATTTCTAATATTTTCAGGGGGGAATACAAGCTAAACATAATTTTTTTCAAAACTCATGAAATTCTCATACTTTAACCCTTTTGTACTATGTTGAGCATAAGCGTCATTTTTTCACTAAAACTGCATAGTTTTTTCGGATGCGCTATTCACATAGTTATACATACAAACTATAATCGGTATAGTTTGGGATTTTTTTTTAACATAACAAGTATAGAAACTTTCACTACTAAATGTATGCACTAAAACAGAAATAGTTTACAGTTTGCATCACTACTTTATCACATTTTCATAACTGTAATTATCACTACGAACGGTATACATTCGGATTTTCACTACGGCAGAACGCTACTACACTACATGTAAACTAGATTGTACGATACTGTGAGGCGCTACTTCACTACTGTACCCTTAGATGTATAAGGATAAATCCTATCATAGTATAACCAGAGCCTCTTGGAGGGAGAGCGTGAGATTTATGAATAGATCTATTCGGGACTGACAACCCCACACTCGAACTGCTAGCTACAGTTAGGCAGGCATGCCTAAGGTGACAAATGTCATTTAACTCGACGCCTGAAGAACGTTAGAAACGTCTCTAGTCATATCAAGTATGGTTATACGACTCACATTATGTATAAATTATCTTTAGTTTACAACCCAACACTCTTCAATAGTTTTATTCATTCTAAATAGAACCACTACACACTACCACTGGAGAACTTTCAGAGTTTTCAAATAGAACGGAACATACAATGGTTTCACATACGAAATACTTATATATCATGATTAGCATTAGCTAGTCACATGAAGTGTTATTTCGCATACCACTACGGTTTTCAGTAACAAACATTCACGATTTCATACAGAATTGAGAACACTACATTTTCACTAAAGAAAATATAGGATTTTCTTGAAACTATACAAAACACTTTTACGAGCTCATCAACAAGTTTTCATTACAAACTACCGCTTATGAACTCACCAGCTTTACGCTGATATTTTCAAACTGCTTGTATTCTCAGGAAATCAGTAGACAGGTACTTGCTGGATTTTTGAGAAGCTGGAGCAATAAGAGTCTCATGTTTATATTTTATATATACTCTCTGATGTAATTCAAACAAGTTTTCAAATGGATGTAAACCTTTTCATATATGTATACATTGTGATGGTTGTGTTGCTATGGTTGCTATTATACATTGGTTGTGATGCTATACATGATGTCCTCCGCCCCAGAACATTTCCGCCATTCTGGTTTTGGGGTGTGACAGAGACCGTATGCGAAACTTATGGATTTTAGAATATTAGGGCTCATTTTTCGAGGAATCTCGCATGGATAAGCCTTATCCAGAAGAGCCACGTCACCTCGCATGAACAGTAGTCGCGTGTCGCGCACCTGTCGCCTTCCGATTGGACCGAGCTTCGGTCTGGTAAGCATCCGATGCGCCTTTTGACGTCCTAGGCGACGTCTAAGACGGCTCGTAAGACGCCTTGCACGTATCCTTCGATGCTGCTTCCACCGAGCTGCTTCGCTGCAGACTCACTTCCTTCTCGGCCGACCTTCGCATGCTATATATAGAAGGCTGCGAACCAGCCCGGGTATTTTCAATAAATTGCCATTTTTGGCCCCTCTTTCCATATTTTGACTATTTCCATATCCCCCGATGCCCCAGTGTTGTTTTTAAAGAGCAGAATATGTCCCGAAGTGCCCGGAGAGCCCAGAAATTTATCTTTTTGGTTTGAAGCTCCACTCTTGCAAGGTCTATTTTTCAATAAATCTCCCGATTTTCAACGATGAAAGTTATTTATAGAGCCAAAGGGCTGCACAAATTACTATTTTAACCCCCGGTTGTTTCAAGGTGAGTTTAATATATAGAAATAATTGTATGTTATGTGTTATATGTGCTATGTGCTTTTCAATGTTATTATTCTAGGTTATTTTCCTGTGTTATTTTTATTCGCTATTTTTAATAGCAAATAAATACCTTTGACCATGTGATCATTGAAAGGACTTAGATTCACATTGGTACTGGTATGAAGCCTCTGACCATGTAGAACATGTGTCCATAAGAGAATGATTTATATTCTATGGTATTGGCAGAAGGTTAGACAGGGCTAAAAGCCTGAAATCTACCAAAATGTTTAATCAGAAAGTGTATGTTTTCTGTGCCATTTGGGCCGAAGCTTTATTGATGTATATTAAGAATGGAAATCGTTATGTCTTATTGATTGTATATCTTTGAATTAAATCCTTGATTGATATGAAAAGTTTGTCACATGTTTCACATATGCACTTGTTGTTCCTTGTTCCTCTTTGCTTCTGCCATATTGAAGTATATATGTCATACCGTTATATTGTATCTATTATTGAACTCACTAAGCATCACCGCTTACCCTCTCAATGTTTAACAAATTTGCAGGAGATAAATAACCAGTATAGTTATATACTATCGGAAGGTGTAGAATAGTTGTAATATTACTTTTGTATTTAGGGATCATGTATGTATAAATGTATAGTATCCTGGGTAGTTATGTAATATATAACACTTTGTAATAGTTGGTTTGTATCCAGTAGTTTGTAACCACTTTATCAATATAAAATATTGTTTTTATGAATATATAAGTAGCATGTTTTGGAGTAACTATATTGTCAAGTATGAAAGTTTGAGTATTTCAGAAATATGAAATTTTGGGTCTTTCAATATTGTAACACACACTGATCAACAAATTGATTCTTTTTTTTTTTTTTTTTATGTTTGTTTATTGTGGTGACTTTGCTTTTATCAGGTATGTGTGTTGTCATTTTATCAAATGTCTTTTTAGGTAGCCAATGTTATACTTAGACAACACTTAATGAGGAAAAACCCATGAAGTATTTGATTCGTGGAATCCGGCTCTCCAGTTCGATCCCATCAACCAAACGATAAACCCATGAAGTATATATTTCAATAAATAGCTTATCCGACAACAAAATAGTTATCCATGACGAAACAATATTACTGCCCCGTAACAATACTCAAACTATAAACAAATAATTGATCAAATAATATTTACAAAGAATAAACAAAAAAAAAAAATATGTCGCATCCGACCCCTGCAACGCGGGGGCTCCCCACCTAGTTATAGATGTTAATTGGACCATTGTTGTTTCTCTCGCATTTGTAATAACAAAAAACATACATGAATCAAATTAAAGCAAGAATAAACTTATAAGATTTGACCTAGCATACACATTTCAAAAACGGGGGATTTGTTGGTGCGTGAAAGTTTGCTCGGAAATCCTCGTCACGGAAGTTCCATTTCCAAAAAACAATCCAAACAAATTTCAGCAACCATTAAAGAAACTAATTTAAGCAACCATATAACCATAGTCAAAACAAAATTCAACTAATAAGGAACCATAACAAAAGTGTTTGTTTATATATGATTTCAATGTCGAAATAACAGGCTATGGAAGGCGGCGTCGAGGCTAAAGGTTGGCGGCGAGGTAAGTAGGAAGTGATGGCAAGCTAAGCAGGAGGTCGGCGACGTCAACGTGGATAAGAGATCTTTGAAGAAGAAGAGGAGGGTGGCAGTTTCTTGTGAAGAAAACATATGCGTTTCTTAGGTAACGGAGATGAGTTTTTTTTCTTTTTGTTTAAAAGTGAGTGACAAGAGGTTTGAAGAAAAAGATTAATGTCTGCATCAAAGAGAGAACACACACACACACACATATATATATATATATATATATATATATATATATATATATATATATATATATATATATATATATATATATATATATATGCACATATATCTTTAGGTCTACGCTCTTTTAAAAAAACAAACGATTCTACAAGAGCATATATCAAGAAGAGGACCAATCATATAAGCTTTGTGATGGTTTATGAATCTTCTTTCCATTTGCTAAAATATATTCTTTCATTTCCATTAATGAAAAATTATTGGGAACTTTCATATGTAGATAACTGAAATTAATTTAATCCGAAGGATTATTTTGAAAGTCCATAATTCCCATGTTAATTAACTACGGCCGAAAGCTTGTAGTTTAATATTGATAATGAAAATACAATTCAATATAAGAATTGACACATATTTCATAATTAATGCCTTTATTGATTTAATAAGATACATAATACATATATAAGGATATATAAAACATGCATCTCGTGTCAAATTACACATGTCTACTTAAAAACATACACAGTTAGCAAACTGTTTGCTCCCCCCTTATTATATATAAAAATTGCATTTATGTTTCAACTTCATCATTTTCCATTACCTCCAGGCATACTACCACCACCACCATTTGTTCCTCCTTGACTAATATTTCCCTCAGCCGCTCCTCCAGCTGGGGTGCCCGAATAAATATCACGAATGGCATTTAGCAAAAATTGAAAAAATCCTCTAAAAAATAGGGTTACAATTTCACCGGGTGCTGATGCAACATCTTGCGCTTGCGATTCTTTTACATAATCCTTGAGCCCTTCTCTAATATCATCATCTAGTCCTCCTGTAAGATTAACCACTTGATGCCCTTCTTCATCTATATCTTTAATAACTCCACATGATATGTCTGTTTTGGAAACACAACCATTTTCACTATTAACCTCAGGGTATCCACTGAGATTTTTCTCCGCTTCAACAAGATTTTGATCACCACAAACATACTCAACTACACAAAGCACCAACACAAAAAGTAAAACATCGATAGGCTTAAGAACCATGGTAAAGTATTATATTACTGTTCTACCATTGACATGAAAACGTGAAAACAAATTCACATGGTATATATAGCAATTTAATGGAAAAGTAATTGATTAGGACAACTCATATACAAGTACGACAAATAATATTGCGTGTAAACTATTCATGTCATCTAATTTTTTCCGTATATTGCGAAACCATCCCACAATTTTCCGTTTTTTTTTTATTCTTTCTTTTACTTAAAATTGTTAATTATAGCAATGTTAATTTATTAGGGTAATGACATGATAAAACCTACCGATATCACCAAAAACATGCAACTTTGTAATGTCTTCCTGAAAAATCAAAATATTTAACAAAATCAGCGGATAAAACTACTGATATTAATGTGTTATTAAATAATTCATATTGAAATTTAAATTCAAGAGTACTATGTAATATATATTTTATTTTCAAATTAGGTGTAAGAACCGTATATTATATGGGTTGATTTAAAAAAAATTAAATATTAAAATGTAAAAAGAAAATATTTTTTAATCCACAACTTTAAAATAAGAAAAAGAATAAACGCATTTTTTGCAATTTATTAATATATTATTTAATACTTTATATATATATATATATATATATATATATATATATATATATATATATATATATATATATATATTCGTATATGACTTTAATTTTAAAATTTAAACAAACCAAAAATTAACAAATGTATAATAATTATTTCAAAAATACCACAAAATGATTTGTATCAAAACTCATAAGAGACTAACATGTGACAAAAAAGCATTCATTTATTAAGAAAGATACTCCGAATAGCTCAAACTATACCGTAATCCTCATCTTTATTAAGTTTTTTTTATTTACAAATAAAAGATAAAAGAACGGTATTACATATATACTCTTTGAGAAATTAAATATTCTTTTATTTTTATTTATACTTATCTTCTTACTTTTTTTTACATCTCAAATCAAAGGGTTTTTTCCGTTTGATTATTTTAAAAATCAATACATCTTAATTATTATCTTACAACGAATGAAAATGCGAACATGAACGGTATTACATATATACTCTTTGAGAAATTAAACATTCTCTTATTTTTATTTATACTTATCTTCTTACTTTTTTTTACATCTCAAATCAAAGGGTTTTTTTTGGTTTGATTATTTTAAAAATCAATACATCTTAGTTATAATCTTACAACGAATGAAAATGCAAACACGCAACAAGTTGCGTTGTTAAGTCTTTTTGGATGGTAAAGTCAATTATTTTGAATATTGTATCCATGTGAAATAACAAGTGTCTTAAAAGGTTTTTTAATTTTATCTGAACGTGATATTTATCATCATTTTATATGGATAAGAAGATAAATAAATAAAAAAGTAGGAGGATATTCATATCCACCAAGTGCCGATCATTGTGTCTTGCAATTGAAAACCCAAATTTAATAACTCATACAAATGCTTATGTGAAGAAAAATGTTCTGATGTGTTGTTTACATAGGAATACAAGATCGATAAAGGTTTTTATTTACATATTCATTTGTATTTATAAAATATATATAAATACAATGCATACTCTCACTATCAAAGGTGGATAAGTACAACACATGGGATTTTTTTATAGACACGAACAAAAACATTGGTTTTAGGTGGGTCACGAAAAAAACCAAAAAACAACCGGTCTAAAATCAAATCAGACCAAAAAAAATCATTCACATAAAAGATCAAACAAGAAAAAAAGGCTTGAAACTGATCTAGAAAAAAAAATATATTGTTCCTATGCTTAACTGAGAACCAATAGTCATGGGACCCTGCCTCGTCACATTGTGATTTTCAGTTAGGATGTGAGAAGTGTAACAAACGCTCCGAGGAAGAGGGTAAACCATACCATTATAAGCAATTGCACCCTACTGAGCGACAAACAAATGGGAGGTGATACTTCCACGAATTTTTTTAATGCATCCACTGATTTTCAAAGTAGAATGACAAATGTAACCCTCATTTATAATTAGATTATAATTAGTTATTCAAAGATAGTTATTCAAAGACTGATATGAAGCAAAATAGTTATAACAAAAGAGTACTCCCACTCTTCCTTCTCCGGCACCACAATCACTCTCCAATGCAATCTCTATTTTATCAATTCTCTTTCTAGCACAAATTAATCTAAGAAAATCGTCATTGTGAACCACCATTTTCTCATCCAAAATCAAGGCATTTTCTTGCCTAAATCATATTCCTTTAAAACCAAATACAAAATTAAAAAAAGTATAATCAAAATCCAAATATTGAACTCTGTATATCTTTCTTAAAATCACAGAATGTTAAACCCAAAAGCAAACTCATATTTTTTGCTTAAATCGCAGAACTTTAAACCTAAATTGAACTCCAGTTTTCTTGCAAAAATCGCCATAGATCCATCTCCAGATTTCTTGCTTAATCTGCCATATATATAAAACCAGGAAAAGCTTGAACTTTAAACCCAAAAACCGAACTTGCAGAAGAAACCTAAAATCCATGAAAATGTTAGAGGGGAAAACATCAACTCAACTGGGGGAATGAAGGACGAAGAACCGAAGTGAGAAGGCGGTGGTTTCAGTAGAGAATCGTTGATGGTTTCAGTGGATGATGAGAAGGTTGTTGATAGCGGTGGAGGACAGAGAGGTTGTCGCCAATGGGCTGAAAAAGGTGAGGGTGAGCCAATTGTTGTCGACGTCTGGAATGGTGAAGGTAAGCACAAGGGTCACACTTACAAGGTTGATACAGATGCAAAACGTGAGCAATCATGCCTTCAAGAATTTCACTACGAATATGTTTTGCCCCAACTGAAAGAAATTTTCCGACAATTGTTGTAGCCTCATGAAGATTTCACGGCGTACTAGCCGATGGTGACGTCTGCAAGCACAAACAATGGCTTGTGAATGATGGTTGTTGCAGCCTCAAGAAGCGACCAGGAGATCCCAGGTGGAGGTTGTCGCCTCTTCTTCTTTGACCCAATTATGGAGAGACGGTGATTTTCAATTCAAAGGAGAATTTGCGTTTGAATAATTAATTACAAGGGCATAAATGTCATTTTATCTTAAAAATCAGTGGCTGTATAAAAAAATATCGTGGATTTATCACCAGATAACGACTCTCCCACAGTACCCATATTATTTTCGAAAACATAAAGTATAACCCATCAGGGAAAGAGGAGACCACATCTCACTAGAAAAGAACCGCTAGTCCTCTTTGTCACTACTAATAGTATTATCTGGGGTTCTGGGCTACGTTGCTGGTAATAGTTCGTTGTTAAAGTTTGTGGTATTCTTGTCGCCGTTACTACCTTTCGCCTGCAATGCTCCTTGTCTTCTTTAATACATTTGCCACTATTTTTTGTTTTTGTTTTTTTTTTTAATTTTACAGCTAATCTATATCTATACTAGTTTATAACCCGTGGGAACCACGGTTACGAAATTAATTAATTTTTTATAGTAGAACTTAAAATTATAAATTAATTATTATAAATTATTAATTAACAGTTTTTTAGTTATATAAATTTTAATCATTGATTTGAATAAATATGTGAAATTATATCATTTGTATTATTTTTATATTAATTTTTATTCTAATATTATCAATTTAATGTTATTAAAGTAGAAATTTTAAAATTTGAAATTTAAAATAGAGTTGACAAGTGGCATACATTAATTATGAGAGATAATAAGATGACACATGACAAAAGAAGAATAAAATATACATTAATTAGCAACCCTAATAATATGACACATGTCAAAAGGAGAATAAAACTATTCTTTTATTAGAATAGGGATACAAAATATTTAAATTGCTATTAAAGTCTAGACAAAACTCCAAAAATGGTCATTGTGGCATGTTAAAAATTATCGTTTTTGTCCTAAAAGGTTGGACTACTACCAACGGTGCAAACTTTGATTTTGTTGTGAGTTTGGTCTAATAATTTTAAAACTTTTGTAATATGAGTTTATCCTTGATTTTCTCTTTTTTTTTTAAATTTATTTTTCTAATTTTCAAACTAAAAAAAAACCAAGAAAATTATAATTAAAATAAATCTCACCCCTACTATCACACCCACACATTATGTCTTTAACATGCATAATATCCATCTCTCTCTCTCACTCCATATGTCATCGGAAAACACCGCCATCTATCGGAAACCATTGCCGCCTACCAAAAATCACCACCAACAGCGGAAAACCACCACCACCAGCCTGAAACCACCGCTACAACCGTCATTGTTTTTCTAGTTCAGCTCTTCATCGTCTCTTCCTTTCTTCGGTGTAAAGGCTTTATTTGTTTTCACCAGAAAAACTTTTCATATTCAAGATATCCCATACTTGTTTTCAAATCTGTGGTTTTTATCGGAAAAACATTGAGAAACATGATTGATGGCATTGTTTTCAGATCTATGCAACCCCTTTGGAAACCATCATGAAACCACAACGACCATCGATATTCCAGAGGATTTTCATGTTTATCCCCGATCGTCTCCGATCTATATGCTAATCGAAGAAAAGAATATATGTTACACCTTAGGCTTTGCAAGACCTTAGGTATAAGAAACCCTAATTATTTCACTATTCTATCAGTCGGAGGAAAGGAGCTCGAGTGGAGTCGACACCTCTTTCTTAGTTGCAGATCAGAGCGATCTTGTCATGCTTCTTCGTCGAAAAGCCTCTGCTGCCGACATTTGTGGCTCGAGTTTCTAGCTCCGAGTTGCATTTGAGAAGGGTTGAAGCAAGAACGGAAGGTGTTTCTTTATCTTCGACTGTGTCTCCTCATCCCCTATTTATGGATCTTCATCTCCGTCCGTAACTTGAGTTTTTAACTCCAGTCTCCTACAATTCTGACTCACTTCATCTCGGATGGTGTGTCGTCATCTCCCTCATACCGACTTTAGGTGGTGGTCGTTGTGTTATTGGTGGTGGCTTCTAGTGGTGGTTGTTGTTCTTTGACCGGTGATGTAGTGTTAAGTGGGTGTTCACAAAAC